AGAATGAGACTTCAGAGAAAAAGTCATATACTATAAAAATGTAGTCCAAGAATCAGGTGGCTTTTAGACCTGAGTCTGGGAAATTTGGGTCTGGGCAGACCAATCTTTCCAGGTTATCTGATTGGAAGACCAATAAAACTAAATAAAGTAAGGTGCAAGAAATAATGGAATAGAGTACTGGGTCTGTGAACTTTATAAAGAGTAGAAGTAGATAATAGAATACTAAATTAGGAAGGTTGGGCTTGAGATACAGATTGTGTTACAGCTGCACCCCAAAAGGTGTGAATACAATAGTGGCAAACAATATATACTAATTTGGGAAAAAATTACTAAATGAGCAAGTACCTTCATGTGTGGGACATGATACATATTGTTAGATTTACTTCATAGATAAAGTAGTCCTAAGATAGCTATTAATCTAGTAGTGTCACATAGATTAACTGTTCTTTAAGTTGTGAGATTATACCCAGATTAGAGTAAAAGATTTGTGAAGATTATGATCAGAAAGTTTAAATAGGTAATTCCATAGTTGGGTTACAGGTATAGCAGATAGTGTGGAACCCTTAACATAGCACAACTGCTTTGGGCAGACTACTTAAATTAGGCACCAAAAGTGCATGTATGGCTTGATATACTTTCATTACAATTGTAACAATATGATATTCTAATAATAAATCACTAATGTAGAAGTCATCTTAACAGGGAAAAAAAAAATAAATATCTGTCAAGTACACAGTAACAATTTATCTTTTGTCACAACTATACCAAATCCAACATCTTCACCTTACATATTCACTTAAAATTTGTCAGATATTCTTTTATCTTTATTAGGTCTTGTTCATTTTTATTAAAGTTTTCTACTGCATAGTCATATTATTTACAAATTAATCATTATTTACCCTCTTTTTCTCACAGCTTTTGGGAAATCTTGATAAACTATCAGCATTTCTATGCCTCTTGCCATTTTTATAACAAACCTTGAATTTGAAGATTTGTAGGGCTAAAACTCACTGCATTAATCTTCCTCTCAACTTGACCTTATTGAATAGCTATTCAAGGACTTGGTGATCTACCCACATATTAAAAACCATTCTGCCAACATGGCATTCATTACTGTTGCACTCAAATACAATTGCTATACACTCTTTCTCTATTACAGTATAGTTGACTTCATGCTTATTTAACTTCCTTGAATCGAATATTACTAGGCATAAATTTCTGTCTTTATCACTTTGCTCCAATACTGATTCTATTGTAATTTCACATGTATCCATATATAGCTAATATAGTCTTTTACTATTTTGACAGGTTTCCAATTGGGACCTTTTAGAATCACATCTTTTAACAACAACTCTTTCAGCCTTTCAACTGATTCTTTTTGTTCTTTGCCCCAAATGAACTTATATTCCTTTCTCATTAAGTCTGTCATTAGCTTTGTAATTTTGCTAAAATTTTTTATAAAGTGACAATAATATCCTATAGCACTGTGGAATGATCTCACTTCCTGTTGATTCTTTGGCTCTGGCCAATCTCATATTCTTTTTAATCCTTTCGTATCTATCTTAATTCTCTTTTTACTCACTATATACTCATCATATTTAATTCTTTATATGCTATAAAACATTTCTTAGCAGCAAATATGAGTCTTACCTTTTCAAATATTCTTGTAAATTTGATAAACATGTCAATGAGATTTTCTAAATCACTATCAGTCCATAGCCCCACATCATTATAGTAGGCTGTTGCTATATGTTTCTATTCTTCTTTTTTTAAAACCAGGTCCATTAATCTTTGGAATATCTTGCTTGTGTTTTTTAATCCTATACACATTATAGTATATTGCAAAACCCCTAACATTGTCAAAATTGCCACCTTATCTTGGTCTTTTTCTTATATCTTTATTTGCTAGTATTCTTTGAATGTATCAATGCTTGAGTACTACTCATGTCTAGCTGCTTCTTCTAGTATATCTTTAATAATTGCAGTAGATAACTATTTTTAATTATATATTGATTTAAAGGCTTCATATTACTAACAGCCCGTATTTAGTTGGTATCTACTTTCTTTTTATCCACTAAGAAACAGTGATAAGTATAGGGTCTGCTACCTTCTTCCAATAACCTATATCTAATTATCTCTTTAAAGTGTTCTTTAAACAATTTAGGTTTTTTCAAGTTGTTAATTTTTATTGGCCTTAGCCTTGCAGGTAGTATTTCTGTATTTCTAGTGGATCTCTTTCAGTATAGGTGACTCTTTCAGCATATTTTCCGATTCGACTGAAATCGGTATATCATGTGACCTTGCCACATCACGTGACAAAGTAATCAAATATTTGTATAATATAATTACATCATACTATCACGTGACTGTGGCTTCACCAGCCACAGGATGTAATTAAACAAAAGGATTAATTGAATTGGAATTATTCATTTATAAGGTAGCGATCGTAAGAGTGCCATAGCAATATAATAGTGTATGAAGAAAATAAGAGGTACGTATGTATGTAAATAAATACAAATAGGGATGAGACTCCAGATGCTAAAAATTCTCATGTGCTTTCCAATTATAAGTATAGCATCCATTATGGATCCTCTTGCTTATTATTTCCGTGAAATGATATTTTCTATGACTGTGTATTTTATTTTAAATCTTTGTAATTACATTTGATTTTAATACTTCTAAGTACTCATTCCCAATTATGATACACCTCAATATCATTCTAAACATAGCTTAGGCCAGACCAAATTAATTCAGCAGTTTATGTTATCCTTCTGCCCTCACAATGGATATAATATTACAGATCATCCCGGAAAAGTTTTTTCTGAAAAAATAGTTTGAAAATTTTATAATAAACTTGGCTTTCATTTTTTCTTTTTTGCAGGAAGATATAATGTATACCACAAAATAAATTCTTCTGGTTTTAAATTGCATATGCTGTAATTTAGTAAAAGAATTTGATTCTTTAAGAATTATTGAATGTGATGATTAAAAATTACATATTTTTAGCATTGTTAAATTAAATAAACAATCAGATTGAGATTATTATGAAAAGAAAAACTTGTTCAGTATTAAAAAGTATGAACAAAGGCATTTATTTATTTTCAAAATTTGCTAATGCTACCAAAACAACTCAAATAACTAGTTAAATCGTTGAATCGAAATAGAATTGAATAAACTAACCTTTTTTTTTACGAAAACTTTTGAGGTTTCGCGCAATGAAATATGAAACTTAGTTTCATTTTTCATCAATTAAAATCTTAAATAACGAAATAATGAAACTGATCAAAGGTGATACAACAAAGCTGCAAATAGTGACAAAATGAATAAACAATGAAGATACGGACAATATTGTTGAAACTTAAAGATCATGTGAATAAAAGGATAAATCAACAAACCAGATTTTATTATATCTGGATGCTTAAGCACTTTATATCGTATTCTTTATCAGTTTTAGTAAAAAATCGCTTATAAATTTATTTGAGCCAATATGTTTAATTCATTTTTTGTTATTTTATAAGTACTATGGCTTTTGACAAGGCGATTTCAACTAGTCTATAAAAGTCTTGGTGTTACTCAGAAAAAATTAATTGAATTATTTTGCTCGCTTATATGTAATTTCAGATACTGCTCTGGATGAATAAGATTAAATAAATATTTAACTGAACGTAATCATAATTGAAATAAATCGAATAGTAAGAGTGAAGATGTAATATATGAAATAAATAAAGATTAGAATATATAATTAGAATATAGATAATGTAAATTTGTACTTAACTGATAATAACAAAATGATTAACTTAAAGCTTAAAAGATAAGAGTGAATAAGAGTGAACAGTAGGTTGAAGAAAGTAATAATAGTAAGAAAGAGAATGAACTTAATAGTTAAATAAATAAATTTAAATGAATGAAATAAGTATTAATCAGATTTAACAAATAATTACATGTAATAATATATATTAATCGTAGGATTCAGTAGTTCGACTAGATAATTAGAGTCAAGTTATGGTGTATTAGTTGTAATACAATAATACGTTGTATTCATGAATATATGGGGCTCAAAAAAAAAAAATTATAAATCATTGATCAAACTAAATTGAAAAGAGCAATAATAGCTTAGCTTAGAATTTTGGCTATTACTATTGCCATCATAAAAGAATTCAAAAAAAAAAAACACTTGAATAGTTTATGATCTTACAGTGATTCTTGAAGAACAACTCAAAAAATAAACAAGCAAAAATGACAAGATTGATAATTTTATTAAACTACAAAATATGAAAAAATAATTAAATGGATTACATTCGATAAACTATATTGATCATCGATTTTGCATTTAATATATTTGACAATAAAATTTTAATTCGCATATGCATGAATTGGGTTTGGGTCAAAATCCCGACAAACAAATCCCGACAGGTCATAATCCCGACAAAAAAATCCCGACAATCAAAAATCCCGACAAATCCCGACAATCAAAAAAAGTGTTCGTTGAGCAATTTTACTATATAAAATCACCTATACCCTAACTCTAACCTAGGCGCACGCCCTAACCCTAACCTATACACTCACCTAATCTTACCCTAACTTAAATAAACAATAATTTTTTGTTGTCGGGATTTGTCAGGATTTTTACTGTCGGGATTTTTTTGTCGGGACTATAACCTGTCGGGATTCTGTTTGTCGGGATTTTGACCAGCACCCACATGAATTTAAGCAATAAATTTCACAAAACAAATAATGTTAATTTATTCTTTTGCAATATCTGCACTAAAGAATGAAAATTTGTTAATAATTCAAATATATTTAATTCTTTAAACAATCTAAAAAACTATCCCAAAGATTTTCACTATGCTGTCGTCTCCAAATAAACTCAAACAAATGCACTGAAACCTCAAACTTTGTGCGATTTCGTGGAGGAATTTTAATTTTGATACCATTTCAAGTTCCTTCGATAGTATTCGTATAAGTGCCGGTTAGAGGATTAATAAAATTAAGGCTATAATTCACCATGCGATATTCTATACCCAAAACATCATTAATTTGAAAATAAGAACGCCACATATCTGAAAATATGATAGATTCAGAATGAATGTTCTGTTCAATAGCACTAAGTAATGTTGCGGCAGTTCTATCATGTACAACTTGAGCAAAAACTCTTCTTTCTGGAGTTCGTTTGATGCCTCCAAACACCCATACACCATTAACACGATGCTCACGATTATATTTTCATCATCCAAATAGAGATTCATCTATCTCCACAACAATAACGGGACCTCCGATTTTGTCTTGTGTTTCTTGTACCTTAGAACTAACCATCCCTCTAAAATAACCAATATAATCAGTAATGGTACCAGACGAATAGCCTGTAATTTTCATAATAACATGATGGGGAGCTCCAGTAAGCCAATAATATCCTATTTTAAATATATCATTGACTTTTATTTTGCTGTTATAAAATAATAAGTCTTTAAAAATAGAAAATGCCTTTTGACACTTTTTAGTTGTGCAATGAAATATTTTTCATGCTGTCTTACAGATCCTCTACATTCTTCATCAATACAATGTAATGGTTGATTAAGAATTCCTTATACAAACAAAAATTCAATATAGTTTTTTTCATTTAAAAAATTGGATTGTAATGAAGTAAAAGATGGTAACATTTTGCCGCAAGACTTTAATTAAAGACTTAAAATATAACATATATATAGATAAAAAAAATTACCTAACTATTATGTTTATCCTCAAATCAAATTAATTTAATAGGACTTATTATTCGTGATAAATTAAATTGATTAAATCATATATGATCATTCTTAATGTCAATTTCATAAAATAATAATCATCAAAACCCTACATATAAAATCTATTTAATATATCCATTCAAGAAAATAGATTTACAAACTTAAATTGCCAAAACCATTTACCTTTGATGCTAATAATTAGCTATTTGTTATTCTAATCAGTTTTAATACAATAACCAACTTAGTTGTATCTGATATAGAATGTATAATTAAATCGAAAATTTAAAACTAATAGAACTAAAAATAGTTTATAATTAACTTACATGAGAATTTATTTGCTTTCACATTCGTTTTCAGTTTAATTAAATATTAAAAAATAAGAACTTTCTCATTATAATCTTATTAACATGTCTTTGATAATAACTAAGCATTATATTGGGATATCATTCAAACACTATAAAATATTCAAAAGATTAATTATAAATATACTAATTATAGAAATCATTGTAAGCTTTATGTTAAGCTTTAATAACTTACATGAAACTTCGGATTAGATCAACTTAAAACAATTTTTTTTTTGAATTATATATTGTATTATATTAACTTTAATAAATGTAACATTATTTATAATAAAAAGGTATTATGTCTTTGATCTAAGATTATGTTAATTCTATTAATTCAACGTGTATAATATAAAGTTGCAAACAGTGTTGGAAATCTTATGTTCTCATGAGAACATAAGATTTCCAACACTTCTCCTTTTCCATTTTTTTCAATATCTTTAAACTTACTATAATCAATCCAGGACAATTTAAATATATCATCATTGTCTAATATTATCTTAAGCTCAGGATTGACATAATCGTATAGTTTATTAGTTTTCAAAAAGACCTAAAACAATATTAAATTCAGATATGCAAATACAATATATAGAAGGTATATAAGTTACGCTGTTACTTGATTAAAGCTCCCTTACCAACCTCTTGCTGATTTTGGAACTGGCTAATAATCATAGCCAGGTCAGGTACGATAAAACCCTAAAAGATATATCTAGTAGGTGATATTACAAAGTGAACGGTACTTTTTACTCTCATCTTTACATACCAAATATTACCTTGATATGAAATATAATTCTAACAATTCAACATACATAATCTATAGTTGCAAATTCTCCTTTCATTTTCTTCGATATCTCTGAACCTGTTATACTCAATCCAAGTTACTTCAAATCTCTTATCTAATCCTCTCTTAAGCTCACCAAAAGACTTCTAAAATAATCCTAAATTTAGATGAGCAGATACAATATATAAGTTATATAGTAATAGAAAAACGATACGAAAAAATAATACAAATTACTCGGTTACTTGTCTAAAGCTTGCTTACAACCTCTCGCTTATCTTAAGCTAGTTGATAATAGCCAGAACAGGTGCGATAAAACTCTAAAAGATATATATGATAAATAGTAAGAGGGTTACAAAGCGACTACAATATACTTTTTACCAAATATCCCATTGATATGAAATTCAAAATCCAAAAATCAAGAAGTACTACGCTTTTAAACAATCCCAGAATATTTAACTCAATTAAGCTATTGATCATGTATCCCATGATACGATAGTTATGGGTTTACTAATTTCCCCTACTACTTCCCATTAGATGAATACAAATATCATTTTCCATTGAATAAAACCAATTGCATTATTAATCGGGGTGGCTAAAATTTCACATAACCATCTAATACTATACGAAAATCTAAAAACAAAATAAGTATTAATTTTATTTTTTTTGGTTTGCTTTGTTTTATTTTGTTTTGTTTTGTAAGAATATGAAAAATTTACTAATCATTTAGCAACTTAACAGTGAGTGATTTATTGCCAATTAAAACGATCCATTATGTTGATCGATTGTTACTAAGTAGTGTTGTCACTTTTCAAATAAAGAAATTGAAAAAGTTCAATGGAGGGTTTTTGAATGAAATCTCAATAATTTTGTTTGCAATTTGGCTAAATTTTTTGAAGAAGGATTCATAACTATGCATTGTTTCATTATTTGTTGAGTCGTTTTCCAATTTTGCCATAGTACTGTATTCTGTTGAATTTCTTTACAGTTGGTAGAAACTTTCTCTGTTGCTTCTTCATTTTAGAAAATACTAACGTTATTTGCCAATTCTGAATCATTGTTTTTATATTTAATATTAGATGTTTTAATAACATCTATTTCAGTATTACTAATTAGCAAACTAGCACCTATTGAAATATTGTCAGAGTTACTGTACAATTTCCGAAAGCTATTTTCCCAAAAGAACATAATACTTACTAATTATTTATTTCTTTCAGGAAAATGGCTTTTGAAAACTTGAGTATATTATTGTATTAGTATATAAAAAAAACCCCCATTAATTAGCAATTTGCAGTATTGTAACAGTATCAATAAAATAAATTTAAAGTATTTCAAATATTCGTGTTAATTATTTTTTAAACAAAAGTAAAATTGTGACCAGAATATAATTAAAGAATTTTGAAACAGATTTGGTATTTTTTAAAATTACAAGCTAGGTCTTAGCAAAATTTTATTCTCTTGAGAATAAAGTATCAAACAAAAGACTTTACAAAATTTTCTTGGTTGTGTCAAAAGCACTTATTTTCATTAATGTTTAGATTGTATAGATTTTTTTGATTTTTTTTTTTTTTTACTACAAGAATTTTGAAAGTGCATAAACTTTCACTTAATAATTATTTGAAATTTTTTTTTTGAAAAAAAACTAACGATGTTTTTGATTTTGCAGCTGTAGTTGCGTGATCTAGTTTACCCAATTGAAGATAGTATTTCATGCAACCAATCACAACTGGTGGGGAAAATTAGGCTCCCGATAGTTATGCCACAATCACATGATCACATGATGTAATCCTGTTACGCAAAACATTCGTTTTTGATACTCCTGCACCTACTTTTTTGATACTGATCGACATGCAGATCCCAGTAAAAAATAAATCTTTGAGCGAAGATATCTCGATAACCACCTAACCAAATTTGATAAAACTTTTTTGTTTGAATTCTATTTAATCATAGGATTTAAATAAAAAAAGTTTTATCGAATTTAGTCAAGTGGTTATCGAGATATCTTCGCTCAAAATAGAGAAAAATCAAAACGTCTATCAAAATAGGAGCTGCGCCAAATTTTTCTCTA